TCTGTGCACGATGGGCTAGCTGTAAGAAAATAAGACGTCTGGACAAAAAATTTTGTACAATGGTTGTAAGGTGTATGGCCACCTGTAGGGCAGTTCACACCATTTCCCGGACCACATCTGGTCCGGGAAATGGTGTGAACCTGCCCACAGTTCCAGTGCATTCCAGACCAGGGGGTGATTTACTAACCTAAACACACGCACGCACCAGGTGCGTGTGATTTTCACACAGCAAAGCGTATTTATCAACCAAAAAGTCTCTAAAAGCATATTTCCACTAATGCCATATATGGAAAAATCATGCACATGATGCATATATAATGCTGCTTCACAGTTTAGACAAAAATGGTTAGCTCATGCATTTACATTCCTGCATTCATCAACGCAAGCAACACAATGTAGAGGGAATTTACACAACATCACCTTGCAATTCATGCAGGGCTTTGCACAACACACCTGCTGGGTGTGTACACACTACAAAGGTGTTTAGATTCCACCCATAGATCATGCTGGGAGGGAACACACTGCAGAGGTGTATACATGTTCGTGGTGTGTTTATAAGGTTAGTAAATCAACCCCATAGTGTTTTTCTGGTCTGGAACGAACTGCGCTGGTGTGAACAGATGCCAGAAACAGCATAGGGATACATTAGGATGAATTTTGGGTCCGGAAACAATCTGGTCTGGTCATGATCCGGATGTGGTGTGAATGGGTCCTTAGGGAAGTCCTTTGGCAGCTGCAGGGGAAGGGCAGGAATACTGATGGAAACCTGTGGCACTGGATGGTGCCTGCTATGAAGCAGTGGGTTACACTGATTTTTAACTGTACAGGTGACATATGTTTTGTTGCGCCATGTGGAGAGATGTTAAGGTTATTTCTTTTATGTCATTTTTATTAGGTTTCATTGTATGTCTCATGCTTCAGTAACCCCATCTGTTCCATGCATACCTTGATCAAATATGGTGATTTTCATGACTTCTTTTATAGCAAACCATTCACGTTTTAATCCCACTAACATCACAGATCAAGACTAGTTGCCTCTAGGTTCCACTCAGGAGCAATGACCTTATAAACCACTGCTGTAGGATGTCCCCCTAAAATCCGAGGGTGCCTACTATATGCCATTTCCTGATTTTTGAGGCAACAGACCGGAGATCCACCCCTAGTGCATCCCATATGCAGTATGGAGCACCACTCAATGGTTGAGGCCTTCACATTTCATTGAGGTATGTGCTGGTGATGGCTGCCCTGCTGATTACTATCAGAAATGTTGGGGCCCCTTACATGGCTCTAAGCCGGGGCCCGCACCCACACTGAGCCAGTCACATCAGTCTCTGACAGAGGAGCTTACACTCGAATGTCCTCCCCACAGTCACACACTGTTATTATTAGGGATGCACCAATACCGGTTTTTCGGTATCTATTACAGATTTTTTTTTCCGGTACTCGCCGATACCGCATACTGATACCAGAAATCCCATTAAGGAAGCCGGGCGGCGTGTAATGACTCACCACCCGGCTTCCCGATTAGCAGGGAAGCCATCCCCATGCTTCTCGTCGCTAGGTGACGAGAAAGTATGGAGCCGGCTTTCTGGCCAATCAGGAAACTGAGTGCCGTGTAATGACTCACTGCTCGGCTTCCTGATGTCTGAAGCTAAAGTATCGGGCTAGGCATCGGAGCATTTGGGAGAGTACTCGCCCAAATACTCGGTATCGGTGCATCCCTAGTTATTATTATACATTTATATAGCTCGGACTCTCGGTTCTCTATAGCTGTACAGAGAACACTGAGCCAGTCACATCAGTCTCTGTACAAAGGAGCTTACACTCTAATGTCCCCCCACAGTCACACACTATTATTATTATACATTTATATAGCTCTGACATATACCGCAGTGCTGTACAGAGAACACTGAGACAGTCACATGTTTCTGTACAGAGGAGCTCACACTCTATAATGCAGAATGGCACCAGCTGTAGGGGGACTACAAATCCAGGCAGTACATTTATACAGCAATGCAGAACAGTATATTAATTGGAGTCAGGGCTTAGTGACCCGCTGAACTCCGGCCCTAGTGACCCGCTGGATGCAGGGCTTTGTAATGTGCTGGACCCCGAGACCCCATCTGAGAGTGACCCTGCAGAGCCCACCATAGATGCTGCACAGCCCACCTGAGACTCTCTATGGTGGGCTCTGCAGGGGTCTCAGGTGGGTTGGTCAGGCTGCATCTCCCTCCCAGCTCCTCTTGCCTGCCCTGCGGTGGCGCTGATGGGGCCCCAGCCTTCTCCGAAGCCGCTGGATCGGCAATGCTGGGGCCCGGCACTGCTAGGGCCAGGCCTCCTCCTCCTCGCCTGTCACCGTCGGCCGATACACAAGTAAGGGTCCCGGGCAGGCCCCCCAGGCCCCTTACATCAGTATCAGCCGTACCCCCCTGATGGCGGCCCTGGTAATCAGACTTGTTTAAAGTCAACATTTGGATACTGAAGTTTTCTGCAGGATTTGGTGGCTCTCAAGGCATCCTGCTTCATATCTATTGAGCAGCATTTGAAGGCAACTAGTCTTGATTAGGGAGGTTAGTCAATTGGGTTAAAAGTGGTGATTTTTTCATGGTTACAAACCTTAGGAAATAGTGCAAAAATCCAAAGGGCAGTAAACCATAGCAACCATTCAGAATTTAGATGATTGTAGTGAAACCAGCAAAGAAGTAATTCCACATTCCTATGTATTACTGCACTTGGCAAATCCTTATTGTTTTGTACTGCCTTACTGAATAAGTGCCCATCCAGCTGGTTCTTCTCTTCAGTGGCAAGCAGAAATATAGGAAAGATTTCAATTCCAACATAGCTCTGCCAGGATGTAGAGAGAGCGCTGCTTCCAGGGACATAACACAGGTAAGCATATAACTGTGGGTACTGTTAATCCAAGGATGATGAGTGATATTTCCAGGGACATTACACTGCTATAATCAGAATTAACGAAGAAAATATTTACATGTACAGCATATTGCAGAGCTGGGTACGGAGTAAAAGGAGATGGTCAGGGACCCTGTAGCAATGATGTGGGAAGGTGAAGGGGCAGTGGCATTTGCAAACGAAGGCACAATATTCCAAGAGACTGTTTAGTCAGGGTTGGGAAAGGAAATATCTCAAAATACAATGGTGCTGCTAAGCCAAGAATGGAGTCACAGAGATATTTTCAGAGACATGACTCCTAGAGGCATGTTGGGATTTGTAGTTAAAGCACAGCAGGAGCGCCGGAGTTGTCCACTGCTTGTTTACTCCCTAAAGAGGGACAAACACTTAAGAAAAGAAAACTAACACTAAGCAAACTTTGAGCTTGACTACTGAAACTGGTTGGCAATAAAGCTATAGTTACAAGACAGACCCTCTGCATGTAAAGTTTCTCTTAGAAGCAGCAAGATGGTCACACGTATCCAGCTGATAACACTGAAAAGATCTATGGAGTAGCTGGAGATGTGTGAGATTTTACCTAAAGCTCTGTGTAAGTCAATTTAACAGTGGCTCAGCAAGGTCAAATGTTCAATTTTAAAGTAAAAATGTACTTGTCAGTAAAGGAATATAGGGATTGACAATTCTGGCCTTCTGTGGAAAAGGCATCTGGCTTCACTACCTATAGAACACTGCCCTGGAACAATAATGCAGCAAAACGAGCACCAGACTCAGAACACCTTGTATATATCTAAAATCTTCCAGGTCGGTGACTCGTACTATTGAAGCTAAAATATCAGCATGAGAGGCAGACTAGGATTCTCCAAACAAGAGGTCAGCAACAGCAGTCTACATATTTCTCTCATGACAGGTGTATTAAATGCATGCACAAGAAAGACGCACATTTTGTAGTTGGGTTACTACCTCAGTGAATGAAGCCCACTAGGTTACTAGGTCCTTGTGACATGACAGTGTTGTGGATAGTTTATAGTGTAGTTATGGGCAACATGTTCGGTTGGACACGACTACCAAACAGCTGCACAGTACTTCTTAATATGTCAATTCTTCATTAAATAAAAATAGTTTGGTCTCAACATATAAAGCATTTTTTTCTTCAGAAGTATCTACCCGTGATGCTGGAAGAAAAGACTGCGCTCTCAAGGACAAGAAATCACACAACCCAAAACTGCGTCAGCTTCTTTCCTACAGAATACCCTAATCTTTGATTCTCTATTGATCCTATAGTGGGTCTTTACACTCAAAAATCAAATCCCACCAATGCACCCCTCTATGCATGATGATTAATAATAACAGACATGTCAGGTGTAGAATTCTTGGATTATGAAATACTAACACTTGCAGAGCATTCACTTCCTGCTTTGAAAGGGCAAAATGACTTCAGTTTGGCAAAGCAATGCACACTGGGATTGCCTTGTCATCAGCAGAGTAGTGCTGGGAAATCTCATCTGTAATTTCACAAGATCTCAGGGAAAGACATTTCCCTCCCCCGAAATGATGTGCATGGTCACATGTCCTAGTCACATGTGCCAGAAATCACATGTGTGACTAGTCACATGTGTAAAATGAGAGCTAGTAATCTGCCCTTAGTAAACATGGCCACTGTCCCAAGACTGAGTAAGAAAAGAGAAATAAGATATGCAAAGAATACAAAACCGGCAATTATCTAGGCGTATGCGTTTGTAGATTGTCATTACTAAACATTTCTAAAAAGGTGTGTTTGTTGGTATATATACACATATACATATATACACATATACACATATACACATATACATATATACACATATACATATATACACATATATACACATACATATATACACATACATATAGACACATACATATATACACATACATATATACACATACATATATACACATACATATACATACATACATATACATACATACATATACATACATTTATACACACACACACAGTAATGGCTAAACACATACAATCTGCATCTGACACTTTATCAGAAGTGCTCTCAGAACAGATTTTTTAATATGTAACAAATGTCAACGTCTCAGAAGCAACAACCATCTGTTCCCAAATCTCCCATTTACAGATGCCTAAAAATTCCCCCCCCCCCATACCCTTGGGGGGTAGTCAAGAACGCATACAACAGATCGTAAAAGTTTTCCATTTGGAATGATAAAAACTGTACAGTGCTAATTCACTGCTGTGTCTGCAAAGTAATATTCTAAACACATCTCCCTCAGTTTAATTGTCCCTCCATTGCACTGATCAACAGTTCTAGCCTGCTTCTTGGCTTTGGTTTTGCTGTCGTTCAAAGCATTTTCACATTTCAGGTCCGCTGGGTTCAGTTTCTGAACTTGGCATACGTAGGTCAGGGTCATTTCTCACCATTGAAAACAGACCAACCACGCTGAGAAGTGCAAGCAGCATTGTGACGGCGCACAAGCTGAACATGTTCCTAGTCCCGCTCTGATAGTCACTATCATGAAGCACAAGAAGCCCCAGTCCAGCGAGCAGGTTTAGGGGCACTCGAAACCAATTCAACACTCCATTCTGTTCTTTGTCTGGGATTAATCGACGCCTCAGAAAGCTCATAGCTGGGAAGTAGAGGCCACAAGCGAGTTCAATGAGAAGGAAAGCAAGAAAGGACTCCGTTGGTCTCTCCTGTCCTGGGCCTGTGGAGAAGGTCAGCATGAAAAGGGAGAAGAAAACCATGAGTACAGACAGGCAAAGTATATGCATGGGCTGCAAGTGATACTTTTTTGATGTAGCCAGACGATAGAGCGATGATCCAACTGCGCTGGCTGCCATAAAGCCAGAAAAGGTGATTCCAAGTGGTGCGTTGTGAGGATCCAGCACTGGAGTCCACAGGAAAATAAAGATATAAACCACACTCTCAAATAATGCCTGAATGGCACCTAGAAGGACAACTCGGCGGTCCCTCAACAGGCATCTCAGCCCATCGCCACAACTTCTGATAACACTAACACTCTGCCCGTGGTTCTCATCCCACTCTCGGAACACCAGAACAATGGACAAGCCCAATAGGGGCACTGCAAGCACAGAGGGTGAGGCGGGCCCCAGACCAAGCCATTCTGCACATGCATTTGCTGTAACTCCTGCTAAGATAGAGATTCCTCCATTCCAAGCAGACACTTGTGAGAAGGTGTGAGGGAGCCAATCTGCAGGGAAGTCATGATGTTCAACATGTACATGAGCATACCATAATTCAAAGGAAGAAAAAAGCAGGGCACTGGAGAATCCACCAAGGACTCGGCTAGTCAGAAGCACAAAGTAGTCCTGAGACAGCTTGCATAGGTAGCATGCGGATAGCAGAAGGCAGAAAAGTATGATGGATTTCCTACGGCCCAGTCGTCCTGTCAGAGGGCCGCTCACCAAACCCGACAACACGCTGGAACCAAATCCACAGACATAAATGATGGCGATCTGCCCCTCTAGGAAACTGTAGTGATGGTATAATTTATATAAATAAGGACCCTGTAACCAGTCCGCTGCCAAAGCTGGAAAATAAGCTCGGAAAAAATCATGCTGAAAGCTTCTGAAGGCCGGGTTCCCTAATGCGCTGCTTGTGATCGAAGTTTTGGAATGGCAAGCAGAAAACTCCAACACGACCCACAGAGCCAGGAGCCCCAGGAGGATCAGGTATGCGATGACCAACATGTCTCAGTGAAATGGCATTCTGGAAGGAGAAAGCTAGGAGAAAAAAAAAAAGAAGATGCTTAACATTCAGGAACATAAACCACCATCAATACTATCAACAATTACATTTAAAAAAAATACATATTGCATTTTATTAGAATATCAAGAGCCAAATATTTTATTGTATTTTGGCTAAAGTATGGAATGGTTCAAACCCTTGGTTCTCAACTGGTGGGTCGTGACCCAAAAGTGGGTCGCGACCCCGTGTTCAGTGGTAGCAAAAAGTTTCCCAGCACACTCACCAGCCAGCATGCAAAAAAAAAAAAACTTGTCTCACCGCAAATTGATGAGTTTGTTTACCATTTGTTTTGCTTGCCCTTGTTCAGTGGGTCCCCGCATGCCTTCCACTTTTCTAGGTGAGGGGCTTCTTAGCCTCCCCCAAGCACAGCACTGTCAGTTCTCACACCAAGCAACCATTCAAAATATGCTGCCCGGTGCCGAGTGTCAGCTGGAGGTGGGGTGGGCTGGAGCTTTGGCTCTCAGAAGGTAGTGAGACTGAGTAGGTCATAAATAAATGTGTGGGATTGTGTCTGTGGTTGTGTGTGTCTATCAGTGGGTTTTTTGTGTGTTTAAATGCTTTATTTATAAATTTCCACATACAGAGAGTTATAAAAACGTATTGCAAATAGAATATGACGTTACACAAGCGAAAATGATAAAGTATATCCAAAACAGTAAAGAGCAATATCTGGGATGTATACATCAACGCAATTTATTCCAACCATATAAAACAGAACAGAACAACCGAACAAACAAAACGGTAATGAGGAAAATGGAGAGGAGAGAAAAGAAAGGGAAAAGGAGAGAGACTGTCTGTGTTTTTTGAGGGCCCCTTCACAGTAGTACAGTGCGCTAATCGAACAGTCCCGTGCAATTATTGCACTGAACCACGCAATCACACCTACTATGCATTCTGGTGTGGGAGGGGTGTTGCATTTCCATTCATTTGAAATGGCACCCCAAACGCACCTCTCGCCCACAGTTCAATCACCCGCACCGGAACGCATGGTACCACAATACCATGCGTTCTAGTGCGGTGCGACTTAAATGACCAAGGACAAATGTGGGTCCTGAAGTTACACATGTTGAGAACCACTGGTTTAAACCTATGCCCTCCAAGGGGAGAATTCCTCTTCAAAAGACACAACAGACCATATTAAGCTCCAAATCTGTGCCCACCCACTGTCTATCCTACTTGTATAGAGTCTTGCTTAACCTGGAGCATGACTCTCCCCCACCATACCTACATAAATGGGAGGCAGATCTACACCGTATTCTAACCCCGGAGGAGAGGTCTCGGATCATGACCCTGGTATCGACCTCCTCAATAGATGTCCCGATGTTAGAAACTAATTACAAATTGTTATCCCGGTGGTACTATGTCCCCACTAAATTACATGCAGCTAACCCCCTTCTTGACCCTCACTGCTGGCGGACGTGTGGGAATCCAGGTTCCTTTGCCCACATATGGTGGGAATGCCTATTAATCAAACCCTACTGGTCACAGGTCGTACAGCTTATTTACCACATATGCGGTGAATAACTGCCCCTGGATGTGTTTGTTTCATCTCACGGCAGACCCACCACAAACGTACAAAAATAAATAAATCGATAGTTCCATTCTTATTGAATACGGCTAAATCTCTCATACCTACCGTATTTTTCGCTACATAAGAAGCACTTTTTTCCCCCCAAAAGGAGGGGGAAAATGTGCCTGCGTCTTATGGAGCGAATCCCGACGCCCGAGACATGCAGTTTCGGGCGCCGGGCGAGTAGTAGGAGCCACTGCTTGTTTAATACGAGTGATCTAATGAGATCACTCGTATTAAAGCCGAGCAGCGGCGACGATTGAGATAACCATAGAGTAGAAGAAGAACGGACGTTCTTCGTCTGCTCTGTGTGATCACTGAGACCGTGGCGCTGTAATCACAGCGCCACCTATCTCAGCGGTCACTAACTGCAGCTTCTGTCATAGAAGCTGTGACAGAACCTAGTCTGTCGAGTGCTCCATAAGGCATGCCGGACCTCCCTGCGTCCTATGGTCCGGTGCGTCTTATGGACCGCAAAATACGGTATATATTGCAGATCTGCCCAAGTGCCCTCCATTCAGGAATGGTTTAGCAAATTGGACAGCACTAGATTATTGGAGGAATTAGTGCATACCGCCAAGGATTCTTACTCTACCTTCTACACACGAGATGGGCTTGTTGGTTATCTTTTAAGAATCCAGCATCTTCTAAATCTTTCCTAACTGCTCCTAGTAGTCAACCCCAGGCGGACACATGAGTCAACGCTTGCCCGCGGTGTGTTACGATAGAGGCCTACGCCCTCAAGGGCTTCCTATTTAGAGGTTGTGCCTTGTACATACATGCGATTGAGAATGTTTCTCACGATTGTATCTAATGGCTATGTAACTGACATACGTCTATAAACCTGGAGCAAGGAATTATCTTTATCCCACCCCTCCCCCCTTTGTGTGTAGATGTCTTGCCCCTGTTGGTATTTTTGTTTTAAATGGTACCCTGCCTTTGAGATATTGTTTTGGACTTTTTTTTTAACTAGATACTTGGTGCCATATACTTGTATTGTATTGTGTGTATTATGCTTTGAAAACCAATAAAACAGAAATAATAATAAATAAAAAAAGACAACAGAAAGTGCAAGGAAACTTCTGCAAGATGACAGGAAATCATCTCTTTAGATCTGGGGTTGGCAATGTCAGCACTACAGCTGCTGTGGAACTACAAGTCCCATAAGGCATTGCAGGGCTCTTGATTGCTACAGCCATGACTTCCAGTCAGAGGCATGATGGGATTTTTAGTTTCACTACAGCTGGAGCCCTGAGGTTGCAATACGCTAAACAGTGTGGATGGCGTGTGGTGGTGACGTACGAGCTTGGATGGACGAATCTCCCGCTGCGGCTGTTCTGACTGGATGCAGGCGCTGTTCGGTTGACCAATTGCCGCCCAGCTCCCTTGATTTTTCAATTGAAGGACGTCAGACAAGTGCGGGGACACAAGGCCACCCACTGAACATATTTTGGTTGCTCCATGACAAACCGGGCTGAAGTTCGCTCCATGTATTGACAGGTAAGTCGCCAGGATCGCTTCTGTTGTAAAGCCGACAGTCGGCTCTACAAGTTTAAACAGACTCCCGGCGGCAAAAGTCACCGGGAGTCTGTTTAAACAGCCCCGATGCTGGCGACGTACACTGTACGTCGTCAGTCACGAAGGGGTTAATACTACAAATGTAAAGATAAGCCAAGGAATACTTAGCCAAGGCTGGAGCTGCTCATTCTGGGTGTGTTCTCACAGTAAGGTGTGAAGTCACTTCATATTTACCTTGCTGTGCTGTCATCAGTAAACAATAGACTGAAGGATGACTGCAGCAATGCACGCAACGTCATCACAGCTAAACCCCACAGATCCAGTTATCTTCCGATTATAAATCCAAACACCTCCTGACCACTTTATACCCAACACTTCTGTGCCGCTTCTTCCTCCATTGTGGCCACCACCTAAATACCTAATGTCAGCTCTAATAGAGAACAGTAGTGTTACCCCCCTGCTGTCATGTGTCAGCGCTATGGCCTGCATCAATGGAAGAAGTCCCATACTCCCCCATGCTCAGAAGGGGAGCAATGGAGAGGTAAATATAAAGCGGTTCGGGGGTTGGCTTTACACAGACCTGGTCACTTTGTCCTGTGTAAGTGACAGGTTCTCTTTAAATGTATTACAAGCAACTGGCTTAAAGCAAAACTCCGGGCTAAATAAATAGTCTAAATACAAGCGGCATGTGTAGTCTTGCTGGTGGCCTTCCTGTATTTCTTTCTAGTTTTTGTACTAGCTGGGCATGAAACAACTCCCTTACTTTGCAGCTGTAGTTTCCTGGAATAAAGACCAGTTATTGCTGTTCTCTCTCCTGGTGCAGGGTGACTGGTCTTGTATCCGCCCCCTCCTGTCGTTCTGCAGGCAGCCTGTAGGGAGTGGACCTACTAAGCCCCTCCCACAACTAATTTTCTGCACAGGCTATGTGCAGTACAGTAATGAGGTCACTGCTAATTTTAGTAGTCACCCTCCAGAAGGAAGGACAGTGTCAGCATGAATTCAGAGATGATTTGAGGGTCTACAGCTGAGTGATACACAAATAAGATACATTTCTGTTTATAGTTGGAGGTACTTGAATGGATTTTTAAGATTACACTTCTGAGTTTAGTGTCACTTAAAGGAGCACTGTGCTGTGTGGGAGCAGTGCTCTCTGTACACATAGTCTGACAAGCACTCCCTCCGCTCCCTACAGCTCTGCAATCAGCAGGGAGTAAGGGCCCATTCATATCTGTCCGTTTTGGTTGCGTTACTGCACATGTGCTATGTCACTAATGGACTCGCACTGCGTTAATGTTACACCAATGTCCTAGAATGGATTAAGAAAATGTGGACGTGCACTGTTAAAAAAAATGGACATTGCACCACAATGCACATTAATTCTTTGCCGTGCATTGTGCATCAGAGGTGCATTAAATGGCATACGCAACATGAGTTCACGCGTGCAGGGGACGCACTGGAGTCCCAGCGTGCATTTTTGGTTGCTGGGCCCCCAGTGCGTCCCAGCACCTTATTAGGAGGAGTTGGCTACCTCCAGGTACACCTGCATGTAATTTATCGACTTCCTTAATATGCTCACACTTGGAGACTCGGATACATAGAGTTAGGACCACACTTTGCAGAGGTGCCTTGGCGCGGCAGTGTGGCTTCTACATATTTTTGGCCAAAAGTTTGTGCAACTAAAACCTCTGATTTTAACGCATACTGTTGACAGGGCTACTTGTTTGGTTGCAGGTTGGCTGGCAGGTTGGGGCTGGGGAATTTTTGTGTTTTGTTTGGTTGTAGTGATGACTACATTCAGTGGGAGGCGTGCCATACCGCCGTACACAGACCACCGCCGTACGGAGATCATCGCCACGTACGCAGACCACCGCTCTCACGCGGTCCTTACATGCAGCCTCAAAACAACCACCTCATTGCATTGAAGGGTCCGCAGCATCCCACCAGCCATGGCTTCAATGGCTAATAAGCGTCAACTACCAAATAAAGCAAAGTGCAGAAATGATTGTCTATCACAATGTACACATTACACATACAGCAACCCCTCCCCCCTTCTTCTTCTTCTGGACCAGACCCCCAACTCATGTCATCACTGAGAACATTTCCTGTAAATGACTAAAGGACAATAAACCCGAATTGTACACAGACTACATGAAGCCGCTGCCTCACTCATTGTGATGGTAACACTGGTCAGCCCCGATCCCCGTACACACACATACAGACAGACACCGACCCGCTGCTCACTGCTTCCTCTTCCAGAGATCTTCCTCCTTCTACCGGAAGATGCGTGGAGGGCCAGAGAGGAGGAGATTACGTCACGTCACATGACACGGCCACGTGACCGCCAGAGCGAGGAGGAGAATGAGAGTGCCAGGAGGCAATACATGGCAATGAATGTCAATGTACGGCACCGAGCATGCCGGGAGCCCCTCATTTGCACTGCGTTGTGTATATAGGATGAGGGTGTGCGGGGCTGTATAGTATGGGGATGTACAGGATGAGGGTGTGCCGGAAATATATAATATGGGGTGTGTACAGCATGAGGGTGCGACAGGAATATATAGTATGCGGTGTGCATAGGATGAGGGTGTGTAGTATGGGGGGTGTAGGATGAGCGTCTGCCCTTGTGTAGGATGAGGGTGTATAGTATGGGGGTGTACAGGATGGGGGTGTGCTGGGAATATATAGTATGGGTGTGTATAGGATGAGGGTGTGACAGGAATATATAGTATGTGGTGTGCATAGGATGAGGGTGTGTAGTATGGGGGGTGTACAGGATGTGAGGGTGTGTAGGATGAGGGTGTACAGGATGACGGTGTGTAGTATGGGAGGGGGTAGTATGGGGGGTGTATAGGATGAGGGTGTGTAGGGGGGGGGTGTACAGAACGAGGGTGTGTAGTATGGGGACTGTAGAGGATGAGGGTGTGTAGTATGGGGACTGTAGAGGATGAGGGTGTGTAGTATGGGGACTGTAGAGGATGAGGGTGTGTAGTATGGGGGTTGTATAGGATGAGCAGCGTCTGCCGGGGGGTGTATAGTATGTGGTTTTGCCAGGGTTGTGCAGTGCTGGATGTGTGCAGTATGAGGGTGTGCCAGAGGTGAGTATAGAATGTGGGGGTTGCCTGGGTGTGTATAGGATAAGGGTCTGCCGGGGTGTATTTAATGAGGGTCTGCCGGGGGGGGTGTGTTATATCAAAGTTTGTGACTGCGTCAGAATGTGTGACCGGTCACATGGTCACACATTTTAACCCACCCACTTTTTCAGAGGTGGACTATGTGACCGGCTAAAGGAGAGGAATTCCAACGCTTTCTCAGCTGTTCCAGGGCAGATTGGCTTCGCAGATCGTATGTGCAGGAGACCCGATCTGCCCTGAAACAGCCGAAATGTCACTTCTATCCGACTTTGTGACTGCGATCTCACATTCCACAAAGTCGGATAGAAGTGACATTTAGGCTGTTCCAGAGCAGATCGGTTCTCCTGCACATACCATCTGTGATGCTGATCTGCCCTGCAACAGCTGAGAAATTGTTGGATGAAATTCTCCTTTTACCTCAGGACCCACATTTGTCTTTGGTCATTAAGTTGTGACCCAAGTCGCACTGCAATGGATCGCACTGTATTAGGGTACTGCGGGTTCCGGTGCGAGCGTACGAACTGTGGGCGGGAGGTGCATTTGGGGTTACATTGAAATGAACGGGAACGCAACACACCTCCCACACCAGAATGCATGGTAGGTGCGATTGCATGGTACAGTTTGTACTAGGGAGAATGGGCCCTAAAACCATGACCTACACACACACACACAATCTCATACACACTCCAAAAAATGTTTATATTTTTTTTTAAGGTCCACCCAGTTCCCTACCTTACAAGAACTGGAGTGGATCCTTAGCTTGGGGTCCAGTGTGGGCTGCTGTGCTGTGACAGAGCCAAAATGTGACGTCACTCCGGTCCAGGCACCTCTGCAGGACACAAGAGAACTGTAAGCAATGCATGTATGGATGGAGCTCCTTCGCTGCTATAGCCCCATCCCATATTTTGAATGGCTGCTCTGCGTGAGAACTGATAGTGCTGCACTAGGGGGAGGCTGAAGAGCCTCTCACCTAGAAAAGTGGAAGGCATGCGGGGACCCACTGAACACGGGGTCAAGACCCACCAGTTGAGAACAAAGGGTGTATAGAATGAGGGTGTTCCAGGGGTGTGTATTATGAAGGGGTGCTGGGGTGAAGTATGAGGCTGTGTAGTATGAGACGACAATTTCATGTTTAGTTTACTAATTTGTATTGAGTTTGGAGCAGTGGTATTTTACAACACACACAGGGACCATGGGGGAACAATAGTAGCCCCCCTCCAGAAGGAAGGACAGTGTCAGCACCAATTCAGAGATGATTTGAGGAGCTACAGCCGAGTGATACACAAATAAGATATTTTTTCGTTAATAGTTAGGGTACTTGGATGCATTTTTAGGGTTAACTCTGGAGTTTAGCGTTACTTTAACATATTTTCACTAAATGGCTGATTTAAAAATCTTTGCATTGTGCTTTAGCCACTAGATGGTGCTGTGGAGCATAGGAGTTTCCTATGCTCCTCATTGTCATCTAGTGGCAGTAGCGCCATGCAAACAACGTGCGCCCAGCAGAAAAGTTCTTCCTCCCACAGCAATGAATTAGAGATAAACGTGGACACTTATTGGTTGCTACGAACAACAAGAAACATTTCCTGTATCGTGTTTTTCAAACTGTCAGACTTTTTTCAATAATAAATTCAAATCAAACAAATATATGTTACCCAGCAAAGCATTTCTTTACATTTTTGCACAAGCACTTACATTCATCATGTTCCCTTACGGCTCCAACTCTGAGCATCACTTCCCTGAACTTCCGGTCCAGCACAAGATCACAAAGGGACAGAGCAGTCTCCAGTAGCTGTCTATCTACTAGACTGGAGAAGGGAGCAGTGGGGATCGGGGAATGGCTTACTTTGCTGTGCCCGTTTGTTTGTGGAAAAGAAGGGGTCACTGGTACCCTAGTATGCTGATCAATATGCCTTTATTGATGCATGCCCAATATCACATAACATGAGTTTGGTAAAGACATATTGATCAGCATACTCTAGTGCTTGTGACCCTTCTCTGATATTGAGCGGCACCACCTATTTCAAAGGGACTTACCGGTCAGGAGTGTGATAGGACTTGAATGTTAATGTGTGTGTTTGTGAAGACAAACACTGTTTACTAGCACACACAAGGGTGGCTCCATAGGACCCTGCAAGGGAAAGGAGCCAGCCTAAAACAGGATATCAGGGCCAGTGCTCAGGAGACCAGCTGATGCTACAGGAAACTAAAACTTTTAAACATCAAGGATCAGCATCCATTGTAAGTGATTTCATCAACATTTAAAATAGCTTAAAAACCTTTTGAGTTTAATATCACTTTCAGCTCTTATTGGGTACCGAACCACATGGCAGTGACACAGATACAGCATCCCTCTGACCACAAATGCAGAGGGAGCATGGAGCCGGATTCCTAGCCAATGAGGAAGCCAGGCGGCGGGTCATAACCCACCGCCCAGCTTCCTGATTGGCTAGGAAGCCGGGCAGCACGTAATGACCCGGCTTCCTTATTGGTCAGGAAGCCAGGCTGCCTAAGAACAAGTGAAGCCGGCTTCCTAGCCAATCAGGAAGCCGGGAGGCAGGGTGTATAAATTATCATTACAAAGTTGTATGTTATATGTGGAGAGCTGCTGCAAACTTAGTATACAAATCTTACCTGCAGCATGCCTCCTACACATAACTCTGGGCTTTCGGGCACTGCTGGGAGTGAGGGATATGACTCAAGCAGAGAAGTGCTACAGTCGCATCCAGACCCCTCCTCACTTCTTGCCCATTCACTAAATGCCGTGTATTTTTTTCACACAATACAAGTTGTTCTGTGATTGGAGAGCAGGGGGTGTGACATCATCTCCAGTCACAGAACGCCTTGTTTTGTCCAAGGAGGTGGCATGCTGCAAGGTAACACTTTTATACTTTGCAACCGCCCTCCACACATAACATACAGCCTTTTAATGATCATTTACTCCCTGTGACGTGTGTAAATGATCATTTTCCCAGAGTTTGGTTTTAAGGGCCCATTCACACCGGAGCATTGCAGTAAACACATGATACCATGCCTTTAGCACACGCTATCGCCCAGCACACCTAGCATACACTACTTTTTTCCCAGCAACGCACGATATTGTGGAACCACACATTGTGTTGCACTGCAACAGATGACGGCTGTCAGGTGCGTTTATATCAATGGTAATGCAATGCACTTAGCACACAGTAACATGTGCTAGCGGTAAATGCACAATCACACTTAGCACAATGCTCCAGTCTGAATGGTCCCTAAGGCACAAGGAAACACTAACGGGGTGCTACCACTAACAAATTACAAGCTCACAAGACACCCATATTTCTGGCACTTATGGTCATAAAACTCTGCTTTCCTACAGATAACATTCTAGTACTTAAAGCACGTACTGTAAAACACACACCACGCTTTGCATACCAGTTTTCTGGTTACCAGCCACCTCTATCTACAGGGTTAGTGCAGACATATTTGAGGGTCTTGGTTTCCTCTTCGAATTTGTTCATACTTTATAGCAATCATATTTCTAATACCTGAAAATGTTGTCCATGCATATGTACAAAGATCACAATATTTCACAAAATGAATAATACAAATGAAGCCAATGTTTAAAATTAAGGGAAGATTACCCATAGGGCTGCAACCAACTAATCCATAATAATCAATAATGAGAATAGTTGTCAACTATTCTCATTATTGATTAGTTGGTTAGATCCCCTAGCTCTCTCCCCCATGCTGAGAGGAGGGCACAGCAAGCAATGGGTGGTAGCAATAGCCAGGTTGGCTATTGCACCAGCCCGCTATCTGCTGTATTTACATTCAGCTGCCGTCTGCGGAGTCTTGCCACTGGCATCTGTCATTCCCTGGCTGAAGCTATTCAAGCGTCATGTGCTTACAATACAATAATTTTTTTTTTTAATTATAAAAGGTGGGAAAAAGTCATTTTCAGTTTCGGCCTGACAAATTCTGCGGAGGGAGGTGCGTTGCAGTGCCATTCATTTCAATGGCACCTCCAAACGTGCCTCCCACCCACAGTGTAATCGCCCGCATGGGAAGTACGGTACCGCAATGCTGCGTGTTCCAGTGCAGTGCAATTGCAAAACATTGTGCATACAGTTTTATTCTGAAGTAAACTTTTTATGTTTGTAACACTGTGTTTGTGTAAT